TGATAGGAGTCATGCTGGGGCCGGGTCTGCGTCTTATAAAAACCACTTACACTTAACAACAGGGCTCACCACTGCTTGCTTCTACACGGTTGTAGCCTAATTCCCAGTAGGTCTCACCCAGACATGGACGGTACATTAACACGAGTCAACTCTTAATCACAGATTTACAGCCCGCCGAAGATGATCCGCGCCGCAGAGTTTGTTCTGCGATGCTAATGAACCCATCCTCGCCTCCCGCCTCCCATCCGTCTCTGCCAGCTTGCCATCTCACACCTCTTCCTGTCATCCCTCCATCCCCTCATCATTCATCTTTTCTTCTCAATTTCTGCCCGCTCTCTCCTTCTGTCATTCCAATCCATCTTTCCTGCCTTCCCGCCCTGCACCGTGTATTTCAGACACTACGGAGGGATTCAGCTCCTGCTATGGACTTGTTTACATGCATGTGATTCCTTTAAGCACTTCAGATTGAGTTTGAGTGTGTACTTTATGTGTTAAACAGGAAGGGAACGGGAAGATAGCACGAGTTAGGGAGAGTGGTCTTGTGCATACTCCCTTAATGTATCAGTAAATGCCTCTTAAATATGCTGAAACAAACCTTTTATTATAAAAAAAAAAGTAAGTTTGGCCTTGTCTTCGCATTGTTTTTGCACTTAGAAATCATACAGGGTTTATGTTGTACCCTCTAAGGTCTATTTCTTTAAATGTAATTTATCGGCAGAAACTGTGCTTACTACCTAAACTAAATCACTTCCTGTGAGAAGGAGTTGAACATAACAAGTCTTTGCAGGATATGGCATTGACTGAATCACTAATTTCCTAAATCATCTGGTATCAAAATGACACTGACATCGACTACTGATATCATTTGGCAGATTCTTTGCAGGTCTGACATCTAAGTGCTTGTGTAAGGGCGTAGCAGAGAATTAAAGATTGGTTGTGGCTCCATCAGCGACTTGGAGGGGGAAATAGGTCAACTAGAAGCAGGCTGGCAGAGTAGAGAGGAGGGTGGGAGGGGAGAGGGGCATTTCTCAGCGACAGACTGCCATACAGTATATAGACTATTCATGAATAAGCTCTGTGTAAGCCTTGGGCACTGCTGTGGCCCCGTTACTATGGCGGCCATGGTGAGGGGCCGAGGAATGCGGCCTTACTGGGCAACGGGAATGGAGAGGGAGGGAGGGAGGAGATCTGGAGAGGGGTCTTTGCTTCCGACTACTTTAGTCACTGGTCACATCTCCACCTTTTAGCCCGAGCACAGCCTCTGTCACTTTCTTCTTCTCTCTGCATTTCTACCCCACTTTCCTTCTAAATCTCTCTAAGCTCAAATCATCTTCACACGTCCCATTTCTGTGAATCCATCACGGGCCCACTACCCCTCTGCGTCTTTTTCTCTTACCGTGCCCATATCCCTTCATCCTCACCTGCTCTCGCTTTCATCTCAGAGCGCCCACCTGAGTCCCAGCTCACTTCAGTATTGCCAGTGTGTGTGTATGTGTGTGTGTGAGTGTCTAAACTTCCTGCTGGTTTCCCCATCTGTTGCTCTCATCAGCTGACTGGATGACCCCGTGCTGCTGACGCCTCTGACCTATGTCTGTGCGCACGTGTGGGTAACGCTTTACATCAAAACCACAGTCTGTATCAAAGCCACAGAGTATCGACCTCTTCTGGTCTTTTTCCTGTCATTGTGAGTCACGCTCAACAGCGGGGACATTTCTGTGTGTGCCTTTCACCCTGGCCTTTCCCACTGGAGTGAAACCTGCCGCATCTGTACAGGTGCAGGGGTTGATGCGCGACACCAGAAAATGTTGCAGCGAGCCGATGAGGCGCAAGAAAAGAGAGTGAGAGAGGGAGACAAAGAGAAAAAGGGAAAAGTGCAGAGACAGCAAACATAAAAAGCCACTTCTCTCTCCTCTCTACTTCCCACTCAATTCTGTCTGTCTTTCTACATCAGTGTGTGTTTTTGCTCAATCCTTGCAACATTATCTTCCACTCGGTTTCTTCTTCCATTTTTATAGTTTTGTTTAAACTGTTTAATTGTTTTATGTCTCTTATATATTTATGTTGCATTGTTGGAGGACCATGGGGCTTAAGATTTTAAGAATAAAGCCTTGAATCTGTGGTTAGCGCAGGAGCTAACTCTGAACCACCCCCCCCCCCCATATGGACCGACAAAAACAATCCCCCCCCCCCCCCATCACCACCACCAACGCTAGTATTATAATCACCCCACCCCCCTCCCTCCCCACCTCGTCAGAGCCAGCTGACCTACTTCCTGTCTAGCCAGTCCAGTGGTTGACTGTACACTCATATGAGACTGTGTCTGTGTGTGTGTGTGTGTGTGGGGGGGGGGGGGGGGGGGGTTTAATGATAGGTCAAAATATGTGATGGGAAGATGGAAAAACGTGACGAATGGAAACAGAAGTTGAGATAAAGACAAATGTGGAGAAAGACCGAAAAGGCTGTGTGATGTGAAAATCTCCCGTTCAGACACGTTCAGTGATTAATCGTTTTTTCCTCATATCTAAAGTGACCTTCACTAATCAACTTAAAGGTAGGGTAGGTAAGTTTGAGAAACCGGTTCAAGATACACCTTTTGTTATATTCCATGGAATGCTCTTAACATCCCGATAGCAATGAATATCTTAAGTGCTTTGACAAGAAATCCATAAAAAAATGTCATCTGTGGAAGCCGTAATACTGTAAAAAGCACGACCAATCATTTTAGCCAGCCCGGCTAAAATAACTGGATGGCCTACCTGCCTGTCAGCCTTCCATCTGTGCACAAACTTATCTCGTGCCCTCATTGGTCATGTGCACGTTCGTGTGTGTTGGAGGAGGGGCTCTGTAAGGAAGTGGCAGATTTTTTCCGGCTGTGTTATTTCAAATTCTAGCGCCCTCGAGCTGGTTTCTCCAAAATGACCTACCCCACCTTTAATGTTTCTACAGAATATGGCATACGTGTTTGCAAAGGAGGCAAACATGCATTTCTGTGGTATAGGTACATGTCTACACTGGCATCTCCTTTCAACGTGTACTCTTTTGATTTCTCTTTCGCTGCGTTGGAAAAATGATTGGTTCCGTTTGCTCCAACACTTGACTGAAGCTGTGTGGTGTTTACACTAAGGGGAATATTCAAACCAAAATTACATTTTTTTGGGTTACCACAAAGCCTTGCTGTATAGGAAGTGTTTAAAACAAGGTGACCTATAAGCAAGCCGGGGGTTTTAGAGGTTAAAGACTTTACGTAGGTCTTATTATTCAAACAAATCTTATTCTATGGCAGACCAGAAGGTTCATGTTGGTCACACAAATTAAGATCTTTCTCTCTCTGGTAATAGACACATACAAACATCAGAACAGTGATCAAGAGTGCGCACATCCAGATAAAGCTACTCAAAAAACAAAAAACAACCTAACCGCAGCAGGACGCATGTCTGCACACACCATGAGACTACAGATAAAAAGGGTATTTCTCTTTTTCTCTTTTTCTCTTTTCAAGGCAACATTTCGATCTGAGGAAAATCTCTCGCCTCAGGACTGAAGATGATCTTAGAAAGAGAAACACACTATTCATCAGGAGAACGGGTGCACATTCATACAGGCAAAAAGGTATAAATAAAAGAGGTGTCAATGCGCACTACTGATGAGACAATTCAGATAAATACACAAATAGATGACCCTGTGATGTTAACACAAATGGGAGCATTTATGTGTCCTTGTAGCTGCCTGAGTTAGAGTGAGGGACATGCGCTTGACATCACGCCTCTGAGAGACAAGCATGGGCTGACTCCCAATGCACAGACACTTCCCTCCTCTTCCTCATTCCTCTTCAATCCTTCCTCTGTCTGTCTCATTCTTTCTCTCCTTTTATATTCTTCCTCCAATTCTACACTCCCTACAGCGGTGAAAACATGCAACATAGAGCAGGTGCTAACCCAAAAAGTGGCATTTGTTATCAACATTTAATTCGCCTTCCCTGTGAACATTACTCTTCATGCAGGCATGGCAGAGAGGTGGGCAACGAAAGATAATGCTAAGAGACAGGGCCGGCTGGCTGATAGACAGGGAGGTGCATTCAGTCAGTCAGACGAACAAGATGCTGGAAAAACGGCGAGGAAATTAACAGCATGCGGGTAGAATAAAGCAGGTAAATACGGGCAGGCAGACAACAACTGCATTGAGTGTGATGTGGTTTCATTTCTCAGAGCAGCAAACAGGTCTTCAGCTGGAGCCCTTTTTTCTTGTGTGCAGCATCCCTTACTTGTGTGCAGCCTGGCAGACATCCATACAAACTCAGAATAACACACACCGTGCTCAGCGAAGCGAAAACATGGGTATCAGGACTGGAAGCTGTTTGTGAGTGTGTTTTGTGGTTTGCAGCACACACCGGATGAACAAAAGAACTGGCTATTGCAGCATACAGAGATTAAGCTTTGATGGAGGAGAGCAGGCTGCACTGACTACAGGTTGGCACAAGAGTACTATCGCTCCAAAACAACTCATTTGCCAAAAAAGAAATAAGAAGAGGGGTTGGATTAATACAAATTTGGGATGAAAACAAGGAACCGTTCATGTCTTATTCTTTAACACACAATCCAAGCAGTGTGTGGGAGAAGTAGGTTAAATTCCACTGCTGTCTGAATCAAAGCTGATGGGCCTATAATAGCCTGGGCTAGAGAGAAAAAAACCCACTATCCAGGTCAGCAGAAACCCAGCTACAACCTCCACTCAGCACCACACACACCATCAACCTTCCTGGTGCTGGCTTGAATAAAGGTAAGGCTTCAGGTGAACGAGGCAGCTGTTACATTTGTTAATGTTTAAATATAATAAAATGTATAGTTTAGCACATTGTGGCGGCCTGGCTCCAACACATCCGCATCCTGCCGGTTGCTATTCAGGGAACACCGTCAGGTGCAAGGGAAGGAGAAACGCGCACGCACACACGCCAGTTCCTCTCACATGAAGCTGTATTTGAAAGATGTAAAAATGTCACATACCCTCAAAGCGGACAGGTCGATTTCGTCCAGGCTCCGAGCTGGAGAGTCAGTCGCCATGATGGAGGACACAGCGAGCCGCTCTCAGTCGCCTGATATCCTGAAACGGCCTTTGCTGTCACGATGGTTTGAGTCCCTGGTTGCGGCTCTACCGTCGGTCCCCTCTGCTACACGGAAAAATAATAACAGTCTCCTTGTGGTCAGCAGCGGGACGTGCCACGGGCCCGGAGCGCACAGCTAGAGCGCAAACACGGGGAGGATGGGAAGCGAAAGCGCCGGGTGCATGAGCACCTCCAGGTCCATGTCTGCGGGATGTAGACGGAACAGAGAAATGTGAAGCGCCGTGGAAAGTGGATTACTGCTGCTGGTGCTGCTCGTCCTCCAACCGCCGCTGTGACAGCCAGTGAGTGTGGAGGAGGGGGGGGAGCGCTGCCTACTGCCCCGGCAAACCACGCCTGTTACTGGGCGGGGTCTGCTGAGGCTGAAGGGACTCCCAAACTTTTTTTTCCTTTTCGATGAAACCTGTGTGTTGTTATTCAAAGACACGAGGACGTCCTTGTCAAATTGTTTTTCAATTAGTCATCTTTATTTCACTGAGAAACAAATAAAACAAAATTAATTACATTTATATACTTCTAATCTATACTAGTTAGGCTATATACCCTGCCTTTTTGTTCAACAAACTGCAATTAAGGCTGGACAAAATAACAAGATCACTTCAGAATATCATGTTCAATTACAAAATATTTGACTATAACTTTTTAGATTTAAATTAAGTTATAATTAAATGTATTGTAGGACTATTGCCTTTGAATTCAGGTTACCTGGTATTGTGTCCATCCTGCACACTAAATTAGATTTTGTCTTGAATGGGAAATCCAGCAATTAAGTGTTTCACTATTATAAGATAGATTTACTCAAGTGCTGTTTTTAAGTACAATTTGAGGCACTGTGTGGTTGAACATTGCTTTTTATGTTATTAATTTGTACTACTCCCCTTTGGAAAACGCTTCAAAGCCAAACAAGACATAATACAACTGTTTTCACGTGCTGAATAGCAATCTGTACAGTGGAAACAATGTACTTTAGGATCCACTAAATGTAACACAAAAGAAAAGCAATGCACTGAGGGACCAGATTTGTAAACTAGTTGAGGGTGCCAAAACCTGGTAAATATAAATATATATAGACATAAATAGAACAAAAGTGAAAGTGCAATGTCTGTCGTGCGGAGTGTTATTTGGCATCTTGTATAATATTCTGTGTAATTAATCACTTTCACCGAGTTATGGGACATAAGCCATTGTTGTTGAGCTGCTCTCAGGTGTGACCGTTTCCAGAGAATTCATTCCTACCCTGAGCCTCTGGCATTTCTCTGTGGTGTTTCCTGAGAACTTAACTGACACGCTGTTGTTTTGATTTGCGTGGTTGCTTCTTACAAAAACATCGTATACACTTCATAATTATTGACATAAGAAGCTATTTCCTCATTTGAATATTGTCAATCATATGCTAGCAAGTCTCCATTTATTTTGCATTTTGATATATATTTCACTTCTTATTAATATATATATTTATTTTATTATTTTATTGTGTATAAAATAACAACAGCACTTCAGCATATTATGCAATTCAGTACAACCACAAACATGATTCAATTCAACTCAATTCAAGTTTATTTATATAGCCCAATATCACAAATCATATTTGTCTCAGAGGGCTTCACAAATCAACAAACACAATTGACAATGTAAAAGCAATGTAAAACAATGTAAAAACAACAAACATATCTTACAAGATAAATGTGAAAATACCAATGAAAAAGGTACATAACACAATGACACAAATTGTGATGAACATGATCTAACATTAAGGATGACATCGACACTGACACCGACAAAAATAAGTCATTTGAAAGGTATTGTGAGGCTATTACATTTGACTCCAGGTGTATCTGGCACTTTGTCACAGACAAATAGATACTCCAGCAATTCCACTTTCATAAAGTTGGAGTTTTGTCAACAGACAAATAAAGTAGATTTATAATACTTGGCAAAACATCTGATCACCTGCGTTACATTTAACATTTGGCAGGAAACGTTTATTTCCTCCTTGAATGAGCAGCGACACGCTTGGTTTTAAATATAATTTGTAAACCTTTACTCACCTTGACTATCTGATAATAAAAAAAAGCAGCACAACATTCGCAAGAGTTAATATTTCTAAAAAGAAATATTCCATACACTACAATGAAAATACACAGTTAAGAAAACTGAAAAAAGATTGACATTCTGACATTAACTTTGCAAAAGAAAATGTGTTACATGAACAGGCTCAATTCAGAAATACTTCCAACTGCAGAAAAAAGTCTTCCTACATTTGATATGACTCCTATTGAAAAAGATAACAAAATGATAAAACAGCAAGGGTATACAACACTTTGATATCCAAATCAGAACCATTTGCAAACCAAAACGTTTAGTCTGATGAAACAAAGGCGGTGATGTTTCCCATGGTCCCATTATAAATACATGGATCATACATTAAGTGAGTGTCTGCTGAATAAGTCCATTCTCATGTTGGGTGCGTGACGTAGTCATCAAGATTCAATCAAAGGCCCATTCATGAGAATACAGGATTCCTGCCAAATGAAACTTTAAATGTCGTTAGAATTATTTTTCTGGCATCTTCAAGGCCGGACATTATTATTTCATAACCTTAGTGAAGATCATTAACCAGTTATTTTTTTAGAACAAAACACAGAATAACTAAGCTGAGCGGGAGTCTTAAGGTGCATCATCACATTTAGAGGAAGTTGCTGACCTAACAAGATATTGTGGTAAGTGTTACATTACATTACATTTAGCTGACGCTTTTATCCAAAGCGACTTACAATAAGTGCATTCGACCAAGAAGATACAAACTTGAAGAAAACAGAATCATATAAGTACATCAGGTTTCATAGAGCCAAAACATTTCAAGTGCTACTCAACTGGCTTTAGATAAGCTAGTCCTTTGTTAGTGTATAAGTGCTTTGTTAGTCATTCTTTGTTAGTAATTATTTTGCTCGAAGTGGAGTCGAAAGAGATGAGTTTTCAGTCTGCGCTGGAAGATGTGTTAGAAATAAAAAAACACAGGTTCCCTACAAAAATTACAAAAAATGTCCCATACTGTAGGTCAAATACCATTAAAAAATCCTTTAAAAAGCTTGACGGATACAGACCGCTACATTACAAAGAAGGGGATTATATACGATACGATACGATATTACTTTATTTGTCAGATCAAGTCTGAAATGTATGTTCTCGCTGGGTAAAATGCTTAATCAAATCAAAACTAGACCTGCCAGGAAACCTGCTGGATTCCTTAGAAATCCTCATTGTCCCGTAAGCTTTATCAACAGTCCTGACGGGAGAGGCCGAGTGCGCACAGTTGGCCAACATACATTCAATGGGTTTGATTGAAAGCCTCAGGTAGGGCGAGTCCGTCCGTTTCCAAGGAATATCTCTTCCACTTCTTTGTATTCACATGCTTTAACATCTAATCATCATTAAAAGTTACATTTCCTGGTTGCACATTAAACCTTCCTCCTGATGATTCACAACACTGGGAAAACAAGTGTACATGACTGTTTGGAATACATTTTAACACCACAAATTGATTGAAGGGAGGACTTTCTTCTTCAAAACCAGTCTCATAATTCACTTTGAGTCTTAAAGGTCCCCTATTATACTGTTTTTCATCAATATATTATAGGCCTCAGATATATACAAAACATGTCTCTGAAGTGTTTGGCTCCAAACACCAAACAGATCATTGCAGCATCCCATAATCCCCTCTGTTTCAGCCGTTTCCAAAGAGCTGATTCTCTGTCTGTTACTTTAGATGAAAATAAGGAGCCCCTCCCCACGCCCCTCTGAGAGATATTTGGTTACAAAGAACACAATGGTGCTCTAGGAGGAGATTCAGGTGATAAGGTGGGGGGGGGTTACCTTGGTTGGTGATTGGCTAATGGTTACGCAAGCCAAAAAAATCTTTATGACATCATAAAGTGGCCAAAATCTGATCAGCTCATTTTCAGACAGGTTTTTATATAAATGGATCAGGACAAAAAGAGAGAGAATCTTTGTTCCTGAAACTTTCAGAGTCTCTTTACACAGAGGGGACACATGTTGATGTAGAAGAGACATGAAGAAGAGGGGACACATGTTGATGAAGAAGAGACATGAAGAAGAGGGGACACATGTTGATGTAGAAGAGACATGAAGAAGAGGGGACACATGTTGATCTAGAAGAGACATGAAGAAGAGGGGACACATGTTGATGTAGAAGAGACATGAAGAAGAGGGGACACGTGTTGATGTAGAAGAGACATGAAGAAGAGGGGACACATGTTGATGTAGAAGAGACATGAAGAAGAGGGGACACATGTTGATGTAGAAGAGACATGAAGAAGTGGATTTTGCACAATAGGTAACCTTTAAGAAACTATACCCTGATTCACTTTCCAGTTAGTGCTTTACACATTATCATTTATTTTGCATTTCAGACTTTTGCACTGATAACATTAAAGTTGTGTAACTAATAAAAAAAGAAAGACACCTAAGATTTCTGTAATAAATAATCCTTCGATTACAGAATATTCAATAAAGAAAGATGAATACAGTTCTTATGTTAACTTAGTTAACTGAAAGAAACAACATTTCCAGATATATTTTTATTTGTTAGCCACTTAAATTATGAATTACACTGTGTTACATGAACAGACACACATTAGAAAAAGGTTTCAAATGTAGAAAAAAAAAGAAGGTACGGTACATAAACAGTGGAAGCAAGATCAGCTGAATTGAGCTCAAGGGGTACAGATAGAGGATGGTTATGATAACGAAATATGAAGTCACAACCATCCATATGACATACATAGAAAATACATGTTTAAAGAATGTTAAATGATCAATTTTCCATGGATAATGCAATGATAAATCCAGCATGGGTAAACAATATGTTGAAAGCAGTTCAGAGGCTGGGATGTTTTCACCCACTTCAGCTTACATCCATCAATTCCCTGGTCCCATTTAACAATAATATATATATATATGGATCCCCTTCATCAAAGTTATTGTCTGCTTCTGTTGAATAAGTGTCAAGGATTCTGATATTGTTGTTCTGACTTAGGCGTAGTCATAATCAAAGGCCTATTGATGCCAAATTATCCGTTGATGGTTTAATTTACAGTAATCCTCCTCTGACAGTGCCAAGGCCGGATGATAACATGATTCATAACCTAAATCTCGTTAACTAATCCAGTTCAGCTGGGTTCTAAAAGGAGTGGTTCTTTCACGTCACATTTATTAGTCCATACAAAATACAACATTTGCTTCATATTGTGCTGTAAGT